ACTGTCAGGAAGTTTCTCCTTAGTTCCAGGTTGCTTCTCTCCTTGATCAGTTTCCATCCGTTGTTTCTTGTCTTTGCCTTCAGGCGCTTTGGAGAAGAGCTTGACTCCCTCTTCTTTGGGGCAGCCCCTCAAATACTGGAATGCTGCTATCCTGTCCCCCCTGGTCCTTCTTTTCTCTAGACTGGCCATTCCCAATTCCAGCAACCGTTCCTTGTATCATCTTTCTTGCTCTTCTCTGCACTCTTTCAGTCCAGTTGCCTCCTGAAAAAAAGCCGCTTTGGGACAATTGAGCCCAAAGTTCCCATCGCTAAGCAAGACAGTTCAGTGAGTTTTGTCCCACTCTATGACCTTTCTTGCCACAGTTGTTAAGTGGATCTGGCTTCCCGGTTGACTTGGCTTGTCCACAGGTCACAAAAGGGGATGTGACCCCAGGGGACACGGCAACCGTCGTAAGTATGAGCCAGTTGCCGAGCGTCTGAATTTTGATTGCGTAACCGTGGACGGGGAAGCTGCAACGGTCCGAAATGCTAATAACGGTCGCAAGCCCCTTTTCCCAGGGCTGCTGCAAGGTCACTAAACAAATGGCTGTAAGTAGAGATGAGAAGGCCTGGAAAAAAACTGGAAAAATTGGGGGGGAAATAGGGGGTTCTCCCCCCCTTTTTCCTCCATACAGCTTTGGACAAAAAAGGGAAAAACCAATCCTGTTTCCTCCCCCCCCAATTTTTCCAGTTTTTTTCCAGGCCTTCCCATCTCTAGTTGTAAGTCGAGGATCACCTATCCAGAGGCGGATGAAAGCCAGGTGTTCTGACAGACCAAATCTATCTATCTATCTATCTATCTATCTATCTATCTATCTATCTATCATCTATCATCTATCTATCATCTATCTATCATTATCTATCATCTATCTATCATCTATCATCTATCTATCTATCATCTATCTATATCTATCTATCATCTATTCTATCTATCTATCATCTATCTATCATTTATCTATCATCTATCTATCTATCTATCTATCATCTATCTATCTATCTAGACCGACCGACCGACAGACATATATATATAGATATAGATAGATAGACAGACAGACAGACAGACAGACAGATAGATAGATAGATATAGATTAGAGATAGAGATATCCGTGTCAGAACACCCGGTTTACAAAGCAATCTACTTATTGCTTTTTAGCCCCAATCTAGGAGTGTTGTTGTGTTTTTTTTTTATCATACAGGCAGACACTGCTGCAACAAACTATTTTGTGTTCAATTTGGATTTTGCCGACCAAGGGTTAAAAGGAGACTAGTATAGCCATTTTGAGCTATTTAGCTCTCATCAGCTAGCCATCCCCTTCTGAGATTCGAACCTGGGCTGCTTGCATATTAGGCAGCTGTATTAACCTCTAGGCCACAGGCTCTCTCTCACTTCTGTCAGCTGAACCAGGGAAGAGAAATAGAGTGTTTTCCGGTGAAGCCGATCTGCCAGAACACCCGGTTTACAAAGCGATCTACTTATTGCTGCCTAATATGCAAACAGCCCAGGTTCAAATCTCAGAAGGGGATGGCTAGCTGATGAGAGCTAAATAGCTCGAAATAGCTATACTAGTCTCCCTTTAACTCTTTGTCGGCAAAATCCAAATTGAACATATACATCCATATATACATATATATATATTTCCTTCCTGTACAGGAAATGGCGATATTTTCTCTTTCGAAGATGCTAACCGGGCCATGACGAGCGGAGTTTCAGGGATCATGATTGCACGGTAAGTAGCTTTCCTTCTTCCCTCCTGTAGTAAGCCCAGAGGATTATTGGCTGCCCTCTCCTCCCTCCCCCCCCCTGGACGAACTGTACAGTTCCCACTGTCTTAGGAAAGCTCAGAACATTCCCAGACGTTCATCTCATCCCGGACGTTTCCTTTTTGTACGATTACCATCTGGCAGACGGTACGAAGACAAAAAGGCTGAAAAACAAGTTTTTATCCCAGAGCTGTAATCATATTAAATACCACTGTATAGTGCGACACTGAAGTGCAATATTCGGGGCAGCGCAAGGGTGAATAGAATGTGAAGGATGTGTGTATATAATGTGTGTTCTTATTTGTGGTTTTGACTAGTGTGTAGCGTGCACTGTGGAGAGCACTTAATTTCATTGGGAGGGGGATACACAATAACAATAAAGATATTCTAATTAAAAAAGAAAAAAAAGAGAAACTTCTATAGCCAATGGAGATTCAGAACGACTCCCTCGCTTCCATCCGGGAGATCACCAGATGGTCTCCTCCCTCCTGTACATCCATCTTGTGGGGGTTAGGAAAGACCCCTTGTAGAAACGCTCTCGTCCCATACAGCAGGGCTTTTCAACCTTTTCACCCATTGTACCACTTTTAGGATATGGGAACATCCGAGTACCACCAGTCGCCTAGCAAGGGGTCAAAAAATTGATGACCCCCCCAAAAAAGGAAAAAAATGAGAAATTACAGGTAGTCCTTGACTTACAACAGTTCGCTTAGTGACTGTTCCAAGTTACAATGGCACTGAAAAAAGTGCCCCCCCCAAGCCACAGCCAAGCAAGATACCTGCCTGCCCGCCCGGCGGCACTCTTCCTCCTGTCCGAGGTTTTCATTGTTGTGAGCATTTCTGTTGAGGATTGGCAGCGGGGGTGGGGTGGGGGTGTTTGGTTTTTATTCCCCCCCCATCTGCTGGGTGGTTGCAGCAGGTTTTGGTCACTTCACTTGACCCTGGGACACTGTGACCGTCATAAATATGAATCGGTTGCTAAGCATCTGAATGTAGATCACAAGACCCTGGAGAGGCTGCAACATTCCAGCTGATCGGCGCTTCTTCTGGGCTCAGCAGAAGCACCAGGATCAGCACCGAGCTCCAGCTGGATCCTGGCACTGATCCTGGCGCTTCCGCTGAGCCCTGACAGCCCCGAAGAAGCGCCGATCAGCTGGAAAGCGGCACTGATCCTGGCGCTTCCGCTGAGCCCTGACAGCCCTGCAGCTCCAGCCATCTCTCGCTCAGGCTTGTGCGGTGCTGCCACCGGTTCAGCTCATTCCCCTCCCCCGCTACCCCTTTTTTAGGATGCTTGCGTACCACCTGCCAGGTGCCAATGTACCACAGGTGGTACCCGTACCCCTGGTTGAAAAGCCCTGCCATACAGAGTTCCTCTTTAAATAACAGAATAATGGGTTTGGGAGGTACCTTGGAGGTCTTCCAGTCCAGCCCCCTGCTCTTTGTGGAGTAAGGAATCTCTTTGTGCAAAATTACAAGAACTGAAGGGCCCCCCCCCCTCCCAGCTCAGCTCCCCACCTCTTTGACTTTTGAAAGTTGTCCCGGCTGTTCTTCTCGGTCGCAGGGGAGCGCTGATCAAACCTTGGATCTTCACCGAAATCAAAGAACAGCGGCACTGGGACATCTCTTCCAGAGAGAGGCTGGAGATTCTCCAGGACTACACAAACTATGGTTTGGAACACTGGGGCTCAGACACCCAGGGCGTGGAGAAGACCAGGAAGTTCCTGCTGGAGTGGCTTTCCTTCCTCTGCAGGTTAGCCACCACTCCTGGACCTCTCCCTAATAGCTCCTGTATAGCAGTAGCACTTAGACCAGTGATGGCGAACCTATGGCACGGGTGCCAGAGGCGGCACTCGGAGCCCTCTCTGTGGGCACACGTGCTGTTGCCCCAGCCTCGCCTCCCCCCCCCGACCTCCTCCTCTCCAGCAGCCCCCCTGAAGGAGAGTCGCCCCTGAGCGTGGCCCATGCTGAGCAGTGCAGCCAAAGACATGGCAGCCAGGCAGCATAGACAAGATTCTGCCCTCATACCCCATCGTGCCCAGTTGATGCTGCAGGGCGCGGGCAGAGGGCATGGCTGCCATAGCGCTGCTGGGCTGCCTGGGCGAGCTGCAGTGGGCCCTGGAGGTGGTGGCCTTGCGGGCAGGCGGGGCGGGGGATGGGGAGGCGGAGCGGGGGCGGGGGCGGTTTTTGGGCACTCGGACTCTAAAAGGTTCGCCATCACTGACTTAGACTTATATGCTGCTGCTTTTTCGTGCTTTTACAGCCTTACCTAGTCCAGACATGTCAAACACAAGGCCCGGGGGCCGGATGCAGCCCGCAAAGTGGTTTCATGTGGCCCGCGAAGCCATCCTGGAAACAGTGAGGGAACGGCCCCCGCTGCCTTGGCCCTGGCCCAGGCCGGCCGGGAGCCCATGTACAATTTTGTGGTGGCCATCTATGCTGAAA